GTGTTCGGATCGGGTTGGGGGCATCAAGTTTATTGAGGAATTTCTTCAAATTTGGCCCAAACGTCCACCTGGACTAACGGGTGAACTGATTTGATTTCACTGTGACCTCACAAAACACGTTTTTGGCCATAACTCTAAGAACTAAGAATTGTTATGCTAATTATGACAATTTCACACAGATGTCTAATATGATAAAATGATGAAGTGATAACATTTTGGACAGACATTGATGCAAACTGTAACTTAACAGGTTGACGGAGGGACACAACTGCAAGGTGGTAATATTTATGACACATTCTCAATACTTTTATCAATTATTATGATTATTGACTTACAGAAACCTTTCAGCGTAAGTTGTACACATTTAAGGGATACGAAGCGTTTGAGGATACGCCAAGAAATTACATCACAATGAGCAAAAATACCAACGCAGACACCGGCGGACCATTTCTATTGCAGAGTTCAAAGGGTTGAGGGTTCACCTGTTCAGAGATTGATTTTACTCCCCACCTTCATCCCGACAGGCCGTCTGATCTTTGACAACCTGAAGAAGTCCATCGCGTACACTCTGACCAGTAACATCCCAGAGATCACCCCCTTCCTGTTCTTCATCCTGGTCAACATCCCGCTGCCTCTGGGCACCATCACCATCCTCTGTATCGACCTGGGAACCGACATGGTAACAGAGGAGACGCCGCGCACACTCACATACAATGTGTCCAGTCAGGCGATAGAAAAGGGCAGCAGCCAATGTGTGGACACACTCATACATGCACGGTAAACCAGGAGAGCTCAGCCATACACAAACATGTCAATTGTGTGAACTGTATGCTTGTCAGGTGACAATATAGACACAGCAATGTCCGGGGCGACACACAGGTGGTCACCTAAGAATGTTCAATTGTGCTGGAAATGTTTAGAATATTAAAAGAAATAACAATAAAAAAGTTAAAGAAGGGAATATTTAAAATCTGAAAGATGCTGAACATAATGTGTGGAGTGAGTTGAGGGAATTGTGGATGTTTAGGTTCAATAAGAAGTTTTAAAGTGACACAGAATAAAAAGTGTATTAATTATGCTGCAGCAAACCATGCAGCCCACCCCACACCATCAACCAGTCCAACCCTACAGACTGTCACACAATCCCTCCATTTATCTCTGAAGTTGAGTTCAAGGTCATGCCTAAAAAGTATGTACACAAAACAGGACACTAGGTGGCAGTGTGAGACCAGTCCAGGTTGTCATGCTTGGAAAGTGGAGCGTGTTAAAATACACCAAAGCAAAAGCATACCCAGACGTAAATGTGTTCCCTCCGTCAGGTACCAGCCATCTCTCTCGCCTATGAAGCAGCAGAGAGTGACATCATGAAGCGGCAGCCCAGGAACCCACTGAGGGACAAACTGGTCAACGAGAGGCTCATCAGTATCGCCTATGGACAGATCGGTAGGTGCCATGTTTGTGTTGTTCAACACCCAGTACAGACCTGTGATCAGTGGAAAAGGTGCCGTGTGTAGCATTTAATCACCAATAAATCATCACGGCTGTCTTTTCTTCTTCTTTTTTAAACATATATTTATTCATTTTATACATTTAACACATTGTACATACTTAAATTAATTAAATTAAATTTCCTCCAAATTGAACATATAGTAATAACAATATTATACTGTATATATATAAAACAAATCTTTTTTTAAATTATTATTTTACATACTTCTTTCAGTTTATTTAAGTACACAAAAATGAAAATAAACATTAAGTAAATAAATATAATTTTAAAAGATGTTTATTACATAGTTAATTAATACAAAATAAAATACACCGTCACTGTCATTTTTTTAAATATTAGCGCAAATATTGTCAACATGCAAGACCAGAGCAGAAATCTGACAACCTTTACGGGGCCCAGAATCTGTCCCAGAACACACTGCTCTACAGCTGCACATCGAGTAGGTTCACGTTCTGTTTGCTCTTACATCGCTAACATCAGTGTCCTGAGACAATGGTAGCCCAAAGACATTGGCTGTCTGACAGCACCTTGATACCAACATGATTCTACTGCAGTCAACAGAGTTATCAAAAGTCTGTTTGTTTTTCTAATTCACAAATGTCTATACAACAAATAAATTTTTTTAGTTGTCGCCAATCAAAACGTGGTTCCCTTCGTTTCTGCCTTGCACTTTTTCTCTCATCTCATCATAATATCCACTATAACAGATGTGAATCTCTGTGTCTGCAGGTATGATCCAAGCTCTCGGCGGGTTCTTCGCCTACTTCGTCATCATGGCCGAAAATGGCTTCCTGCCGGCCGTGCTTGTCGGCATCCGGCTCAACTGGGACGATCGCTCCTGCAACGACCTGGAGGACAGCTACGGGCAGCAATGGGTACGAGTGATGTCACACGATGTCAGGGTTCTGCTGTGAGCTCTGTTTGACTGACCTTATGAAGAATCACTGTACCGTGATGTTAAATCACGGTACTCATACAAAGTTTTCTGAATATTTGCTACACCAGCAGTAATCCTTGAATGATAAAAGACACAAACATTAATATAAATGTATACAAACGTGTCGTGGTCACAACCATCTCAATAGAAGTCCATCACAGAGGACACATTGCGTGACTGTCTTCCTGTTTCCCTGTCCAGACCTACGAGCAACGGAAGATTGTGGAGTTTACTTGCCACACGGCATTCTTCGTCAGCATTGTGGTGGTACAGTGGGCAGATGTCATCATCTGCAAGACCAGGCGTAACTCTGTGTTCCAGCAGGGCATGAAGTAAGTGGAAAAGTTATTGAAAAATACACTTCTGAATAATGCTAGGTAATGTGATACGGTCGGGTGTATTTCATCCATCCATCCATCCATTTTCTTCCGCTTATCCGGGGTCGGGTCGCGGTGGCAGCAGGCTGACCCAGACCTCCCTCTCACCGGCAACATGTTCCAGCTCATTCTGGGGGATCCCGAGGCGTTCCCAGGCCAGCTGGGAGATGTAATCTCTCCAGCGTGTTCTGGGTCTTCCCCGGGGTCTCTTCCCAGTTGGACGTGCCTGGAAAACCTCCAGTGGGAGGCGTCCAGGAGGCATCCTAATTAGATGCCCGAACCACCTCAGCTGACTCCTTTCGACGCGAAGGAGTAGCGGCTCGACTCCAAGCTCCCTCCTGATGACCGAGCTCCTTACCCTATCTCTAAGGCCGAGCCCGGCCACCCTACGGAGGAAGCTCATTTCGGCCGCTTGTAGCCGCGACCTTGTCCTTTCGGTCACGACCCAGAGTTCGTGACCATAGGTGAGGGTAGGAACGTAGACCGAGTGGTAAATTGAGAGCTTTGCCTTCCGGCTCAGCTCCCTCTTCACCAAGACGGTCCGGTGCAGCGCCTGCTTTACCCTGCGCCTGCAGCTGCACCGATCTCCCGCTCCATCTTACCCTCACTCGTGAACAAGACCCCGAGATACTTAAACTCCTTCGCTTGAGGTAGGCACTCTGTCCCCACCTGGAGGGAGCAATCCACCGGTTTCCGGCAGAGAACCATGGCCTCAGATTTGGAGGTGCTAACTCTCATCCCCGCCGCTTCACACTCGGCTGCAAACCGCCCCAGTGAATGCTGGAGGTCATGATCCGAGGAGGCTAACAGGACCACATCATCTGCAAACAGCAGAGAGGCGATCCCGAGACCCCCGAACCTGACGTTCTCCACCCCAAGGCTGCGCCTAGATATCCTGTCCTTGAAAGTCATAAACAGGACCGGTGACAAAGCGCAGCCCTGGCGGAGGCCAACACCCACCGGGAACGTGTCTGACTTATTACCGAGAATGCGGACACAGCTCCTACTGCAGTCGTACAGAGACCGGATCGCCCGTTGTAACGGGTCCGGCACCCCATACTCCCGCAGCACCCCCCACAAGAACCCCTGAGGGACCCGGTCGAAAGCCTTCTCCAAGTCCACAAAGCACATGTAGACTGGTTGGGCAAACTCCCAGAACCCCTCCAGTAGTCTTGCAAGGGTAAAGAGCTGGTCCACTGTTCCACGACCGGGACGGAATCCGCACTGCTCCTCTTGAATCCGAGGTTCGACAAGCGGTCGGAGCCTCCTTTCCAGCACCCTGGCATAAGCCTTCCCCGGGAGGCTGAGTAGTGTGATACCCCGGTAATTCGAGCACACTCTCCGGTCCCCCTTTTTGAAGATGGGAACCACCACCCCGGTCTGCCATTCCATGGGCACTGATCCCGACCCCCATGCGACATTGAAGAGGCGTGTCAGCCAGGACAGCCCAACTATGTCCAGCGCTTTCAGCATCTCAGGGCGGATCTCATCCACCCCAGGCACCTTGCCACCAAGGAGCTTTTTAACTACCTCAGCGACCTCTGCCAGGGATATGGGTGAGCCTCCCCCTAGGTCCTCAGGCGCTGCCTCCTCTGCAGAGGACATGTTGGTCGGGTTTAGGAGTTACTCAAAGTGCTCTTTCCACCGCCCGATGATGTCCCCCATGTGGGTTAGCAGTTCCCCCCCTGCTGAGAACAGCCTGGGGTAAGCCCTGCTTTCCCTTCCTGAGCCGTCGGATGGTTTGCCAGAACCTCCTTGAGGCCAACCGAAAGTCCTTCTCCATGGCCTCCCCGAACTCCTCCCATGCCCGAGTTTTAGCATTCACGACCGCTGCAGCCCTTCTGGCCTGCCAGCTGCTTCAGGAGACCCCTGGGCCAACCAGGCCTTGAAGGTCTCCTTCTTCAGCTTGACGGCTTCCCTCACCTCCGGTGTCCACCACCGGGTTCTCGGGTTGCCGCCACGACAGGCACCGATGACCTTCCGGCCACAGCTCCTAGCGGCCACGTCCACAATAGAGGCTTTGAACATGGTCCATTCGGATTCCGTGTCCCCAACCTCCCTCGGGATGTGAGAAGTTCTTCCGGAGGTGGGAGTTAAAGACCTCCCAGACAGGGTCCTCCGCCAGACGTTCCCAGTTCACCCTCACTACACGTTTGGGCTTGCCGGGTCTTTCCAACCGGTTCCCCTGCCATCTGATCCAACTCACCACCAGGTGGTGATCAGTTGACAGCTCTGCTCCTCTCTTCACCCGAGTGTCCAAGACATACGGCCGCAAATCAAATGATACGATTACAACCCGTAGGCTCATGGAGGCGACCTCTCGTTTTCCGGGGAGAAGTCCAACACAGCGGCGCTCAGCCGGGGGCTCGTGAGTATCCCCACTCCCGCCCGGCGCCTCTCACCCTGGGCAACTCCGGAAAAGGACAAAGTCCAACCCCTCTATCTCCAGCACTCGGCAACTCACACCACACCTTTACTTTGACACCTGAAGTTACAAAGACTGTATTGAAGTAAAGGATGGATATATATACATACATATGTTTTCTCTGAGTTACAATATCATTTACAAAAGCTGGTGTAAACATGAACGTTGCAGAAGAAGAAAGCCGTTTCCCACAGCTGCCACCAGACGTCACTAGAGAGCCATGTTTTACTGACACACCTTTAATTCATGGCCCTAACTTATGGCCCGTGTTTGTTTGTTCCCCACATGTGTCCCTCTCTAACTGATGTGAGCCACTGTTTATCGTCTCTCAGCTACGTGTGTTGCTGTAAATAACTTTTTGTTCTGTGCTCATTGTCTGGCAGGAATAAGATTTTGATCTTTGGCCTGTTTGAGGAAACGGCTCTGGCTGCTTTCCTGTCCTACTGCCCCGGCATGGACGTGGCACTACGGATGTACCCGCTCAAGTAAGTAACGCTCCAACACATCTTCACAGTGCCACGATGTGCAGACCTCCATGTTCACTTTCAGTGGTAATAATGTGAAATGCAATGCCATTATGTTTGTCCTGAAATGGCAACACACTTTTGTTTTAAGACAGTTCACGAGTACTGTGTTCTGTATTTGTAACTGCTCCCCTCCTCCTCCTCCCTCAGGCCCAGCTGGTGGTTCTGTGCGTTCCCGTACAGTTTCCTCATATTTGTTTACGATGAGATCCGAAAACTCATCCTTCGCCGAAACCCTGGAGGTCAGATAACACACACATTATTTCATTTTCTGTTGGCTTTGGTCACAGGTGCTCTGATCTATCAGCTGATATTCGTTTTAAACAGTTGAATTGGTGGTCTCTATGAAGGCCAATCAGAAGAGACCATGAATTCAAACTATTTCACTTTCAACTTCAAATTTGAACTTACATGAAGTGAAAACACGCAGTGAAAGGATTAATTTTTAAGACTTAGACCGGACAACTCTGTGGTAGCAACATGTCAATCACAGTAAGCCCGCCATAAAGCATCCCCTGCTTTATGGTCTGTTTGACTCTAAATGGACCATAATGTACTAAATGAACATCATGCTGTATTGAAGAAGACTTGAAACTAGAGATTGAGACCATAAACTCATGTTTACAATGTTTACTGAGGTAATAAATCAAGAGAGAAGTAGAGTCATTTTCTCATAGACTTCTATACAACCAGAGGAGTCGCCCCCTGATGGCTATTAGAGAGAATGCAGCTTTAAGACACTTCCGCATTGCCTTCACTTTTTAGAACCGGAGGTTGCCGGTGTTTAGCATTCTCATCAAGCACGTAGCTCGTCGCAGTGCTTCCTGTCTGAACAGCTCATTTGGTTAACATGGCCACCGAAGCGTCCTTTCCAAGTTCAATTAACAACAGACCAACATGCAAAGCTGGTCAAAAACATTCTCGTTAACCTATTAACAGTTAACTGTTGATGTCCCTAGTAGCATGTCATATTATGTAATATTACACAGATTGTAATTACATGCCAGCACAGGTGTTTACAGGAGGATGAGGAGAATACATTGCAAATGTAGTGGGAAAAAAATGTACAACTTTAAAGGACATTGTGCAGGAAAATATCATCCAGGACCTCATCATTTTAAATAATAATTTAGCTCAAATGTTAATCAATAGATCAAATAATTTGATGGATAACTCTTCTCTCTCTTGTTCCCTCTGTTTCTCTCCTCTTCATCTCTGCAGGCTGGGTGGAAAAAGAGACGTACTATTAAATTATCAAAGCATCATTTCCTTCTCACCCCTGTTCTCCCCTGAACTCACCCCTTTTAATCTATCCCCCTCCCCTCCACCCATCCATCCTCTCCCGTCAACATGCTCAAACTGTACAAGAAGATAACGTCCTACCCATCCTGCTCTCATCCTCATCCCCCACAAAGAGACAACACAAAATAACAAATCACACGCCAAGACGCTGCGAGGACCAACGACAGGGGAGAGGATGCGGGAGGTGGGAGGCGGGTTTGTAAATCTTCCCTGTCCTCTCTCCCTCTTTTTATGTTTTTCTATCCAAAGTCTGTACAGCACCAGTCTGCCAGTAACACTGGCGTGCCGACGCTTATTACTGCACCGTCAGCTGCAGCTCTTCACACGTGTACTCAAACCACAGCGCTGTGTGTGGACCTGAATACAGAATACAGACAGAAACCCGACTGTTCCACTGCCATCTCTCTTGCCAAGCAGAACAACAACGTGGCAGCTCCCGTCCAGACTCCCGACTGCCAATTCTAGTCTTCTCTTTGTTTACCTATTTGTCTTTTTCCTGCCAGAGCCTGCCACCCAGATCCAGCTCCTTACTCACTGCCATTTCCTCCGTCCTCTTCTCTCTTTCTACTCCTAAGTACTCACTGCCAATCTTCTACTGCCGTCCCGCCTCCTCCTCCTCCTCCCCCATCAATATAGAATCAATCTCACCATAAAACTTCAGCACTCACTCACGCCCTCAACAGGGCGGAAAAAAGGTCACTTCCTTGATCTCCCTCCCTCCCTCCCTCCCTCCCTCCCCATGTGTTCTTTTCTGCCTATGTTGTTGTCGTGTTCTAATAGACGACTGGGTGTTTTTGAAAACAGAAAAATTGTTTGTGAAAGTGTTTTTTTAAGTTGGGAGTGGGTCTGAGAGCTCCTTGTTTTCATTCAGACATGACAAAGCACACTGTCTCCCCCTCTTTTACCTTCCCCGCCCCCCGCCTGTTTATCTGTCCGTTTGTCTGTCTGTTTGTGAACAGCGTGCAAACCCTCCGTCCTTGTAAACTTCCACCAACTTTCACCACCCTCTCCCCCCTCCCAACCTCACCCCTGTTAAAAAAGAATAAAAATACAAACTTTCTGTGTCCTCGGAAAAAGAGATTTCTCTCCGATTTCATTATTTAAATCAGTTGAAATGTGGAATAAGGCACGGTACCTTAACTTGCAAACCAACAGCCAGAAAAGAAAATGAAATACAAAAGAAAGATCTCTCTTTTTCAGCTTGGTCTCCAGTTTGTTTTTGTGTGGAGTTTTGTCAGAAAATGGAAATAAATGCTGTGTGACCAACTCTTACTCATGGCAGCAGTGTCAAGTCATCTGTTTTCTACCTGAAGGGTTTCAACAAGTCAGAGGAAGTGTTAACACCTTACATGTCTATAGACACATTTAGTAGAACTTCTACTGGAAGAGCATGTATGAAGCAGGACTGAGGAGCCTTCTTTGTTCCGGATGCTGCAATGAATCAGCATCCATCAGTTGACCCACGCCAGGACACCTCCTAACAGCTATCACATTCATATTGTTTTTTAGCAACGTAAGCTTTGTAGGTAGCAAAACTCACCAGCAGGTGCTTATTTCTTAGCACCTAAAACCTGCAATACAACATTTGACCGCTTGGGGGCAAGTAGTACACTTATTAACATATCCAGAAGTCAGGGGGCTACATTATCATTCATTTGGAGTCGTGTTTGTGTCCATCTGATGAACGTTGGTCTGATATTCATTCTTGTTTTAGCTGTTTTTGGTCTCTTATCAAATCCTGAGCCAAATATCTGTCACTATGGGATAAATGCTCCACTATCTTCCCCAGCTAGTGTCTTAGTGCGTCTGTCCACTACTTGGTGCTGAGCAGGTAGTGTTCAGTGGAGTTGTACTGAACACGCTACATGAGCAGTGAGAGTGAACCAAGACCAGAGCTAGACAATGAACTTAAAACTCACTTTACATTTCCGTGAAGCCGAGGGGAGCTGCTGACTCACGTGAGACATTTTCTGTAGCTTTATTACTACGAGCGACGCCTTTTACACCGTCATTTTATACATTGTTATGATAAAAAAGTTTGAAATTGATTCTGCTGATGAAGATCGTGTGAGACGATCAAAAGCTCCAGAACAGCTGCTAAATGGACCTTGTGGTTGATTTGTTTTGATCGCTCCTGTTTCCGAGCACAAGATAGAACTTTTGATCTAAAATCTTTCAGCCAACGTGGACAAGAAGTCATGAAAATGCCAAAAAAAAAACCGACATATGGGCCGAAGAAAAACATACAATAAAATGTACAACATGGATCTTGTGTTAAAATTCTTTTGTGAGCGACTGTTAATGAAGTTGAGAATGACGAGCACTGCGTGTAACCGGCAGCTACAGACAGTTTGCTGATCCGGCGGGGTGTCGGGGCGGTCCCGGGATCAGACCCCCGGGGCTGCGGTTTGCACGGCTTGCTGAATTCATGCTGACTGAAGGTCTGTCTCCCAGAGAGGATGAAACGAAAATGTGAGTCATTTTCTCATTTCTGACACTTTGGTTTTAATCCAGTAAACAAACTTCAACAGAGGGTTCGCGACCCCTAGGGGGTACGCGGAGGTACTGCAGGAGGGGGGGTCGTGAAATCTTTGGTTGATTAGACAATTTTTTATATATAAATAAATATATATATATATATATATATTTCCCCAAACATGAATCTGTCCATTGTTTTAATAGTTCAGTATTGTATGAAAGATAACAGGTATGCTAATAGGCCATCACTCATTTTTCGTTTCCACATTTATGTTTAAAATGAAAACATCAATTTGAATAGCTTGTATGCATGATTATCATGCAATTGACATACAATGTTGATATTGGCATTGGTATCAGCTGACAAGGTGTGTTTCTAAATGGCAGTGGCACGGCCTCCCTACTCACTGTACCTTGCACATGTTTACAATAAAAACATGAATATATGAACCTGTGTATTATTTGAATAGCTTAGTATTGAATGCACAATAAAGAGGTATGTTTATACACGGCACTAGGCCCAGTTTAATATAAAACACAATTTTATACAGTATATAGTCGGGGGTCCCTGCTCCATCTATCAGTTTGGGGGTCCTTGGCCTGAAAAACATTGAAGACCCCTGCTCTAATGTGTTTGCTTTTCTCCTCTCTGTGATTCAAAGTAAGTCCCTGTTTTCTGTTGGAACGAGAGTGCTGCTCTAAACCCTGCAGCCTGCGGGGAAGAGGAAACATGGTATGACTTGGACTAAAGAACCAGGACAATATTTGGCTTGAGGTTGGTAAAGACACACAGAGGACATCTTCATGTATCGTAGTCTATAACCATTGTTAACCATAGAAACAATGCTGCTGCACCATGTGATACAGATCCTCTTCACAACTCTTCTATAGGTTTACCCTGACAGTAGAGCCGGGGTTCACTTTTAGAACATGAGATACACTGCGCTCTAGCATTAATAGCCTACTAGCAGGTAACAGATTAAACTGCTTGCATGCAGTTGTGTAATAGCGGTTAGACCTTTACAGCAATTTATAAATTTGTACAATTTTAGATTCATTAGAAAGCAACCATCAAACGTAGCATCGGATGCGGAGTTAGCTTCTTTTCGCCACATTTTACTGTCGCACTTGAATTATACTTCTCAACCCATTCCAGTGTAAATGAAACCTTATTAAAATGAATCATGTGCATATGTTCTCACACAATATTTTAACAACTGTATTTTGACTTTGGGCTGTGTATTCAGCAGCCATCTACATTGTGACTCCTGTCTGTCACATATGCTGCCACCCAAGTGAGCAGAACTGTTCAGATGCGTAGAGCTGGCATGAATTATGAAATTAAAATGAATGAAACCCATCTCCTCCCTCTTTTTTCTCAACTGACACCAAACTCAGACATTGTGTCCTCCACAAACGATCCAGCTTTTTGAATTATCAGAAAACTGTGGCCACGGTGCATCAAAACATCTCACTGTAAACAATACTGCTAACAGCTGCTGCCTATTCTCACTGCCAATGCTCAGGGAGATACATGGCAACATGCGGGTGTCATGGTACATATAGTGTGGTCAATTTAAAAATTGTATCTCAACAAAACTACATTTTTGACAGTATTTAGAATTATATCTTCATGGTAACTATTGACATAAAAGCTTGAGTTTAATCTCTGATCTGTCTTCAGTATGAAACTTTAAATAATCTCATCAATCCGATCAGCTGCATCGTCCAATCCAAGAACTGATGAACAATGAGGGGGCGTGTCGGCCCATAAAAGACTTCCTGGAAGCCTGTTCTCGTGCGTCCTCGCTCATGGCTCCTCAGAGATCCCTCCTCCCTCCTCTGAGCTAAATAAGAGCTTTGGGACGGCCATCAATATGGTGGTGCAGAACAACTTCCGGTTCAAGCGAGGAGCAAGGAAATGACAATTAAGAGACTTAGGATGTACCCAATGGGTTTCTTTCATGGTTTTTTTGGGTTGGATGTTGGAAATCACGGCTGAAGAGATTTTAGTATTTGGTTTTGCAATATAAAATAAGTCAGTAAATACCCCTCTGGTGAATTTAGAAGCTTTTACTTTAAAAGAGTGTAAATGAGTTGACTAAACGTCCTCACTAGAACACGAGTCCTCCTTTAGCTTAGCGCTGACGTGAAGTCATGTGACCGTGGTGGAGTTTCTTTATAGCCTAACGTTGCACTTGCGATTCATAAATCATTAAAGTGATGTTTATTAGTGAAGATTATCTTGCTGAACAAACGTGCACGTATCATCAACGTGTGTTTGCCACAGAGTTCATTTTCTGCAATATTTCATAATCCAATGGAAAAAATTCATCGGCTTTTTGTGGAGGGAACCAGTGTGATGCCAGCCCTCCTGCAGTGCTCTACGGAATGGAACAACATGGGCTGTAACTTACAGAGCAATCGATCTTTGTCGAAAACGAATTGCATACATCTTATGTTGTCTAGATGAAGTTCACCAATTCTCAGAGTTTTGTCGTAATGAATGAATATTTGATGCTCGATTGAAATCTGCCGACATGCAGCCTTTGTGGTTTAGAGACACTTGACTTCCAGGTTCAACGATAGTTACGGTCCGGACAGTTCTGCTGACCGACCCTCCTGTATTTCTCATTTGTCTTTCTTTTTTTTATCTTCCCTCTTGTCTCTTCCTCCACCTTCTTTTTTTAAAATTATCTCAGAACAACAGCAAAACTGTACTTAATCCATGGACAAAAGATGATGGATTTCATTATTTGTATTTTGAAAATCACAATAAAAAAACAGTAGTTGTAAGAAGATCCTTCAGATTTAGAGTATTGTTTCAATTATTTAAACTATATTCATTATTTATATATTGTGTTCTGCTGAATGCAGCTTATCAGTGACCTTTTTCACTTTTAGCCCCTTCAAAATAAGACGCTTTGTAAATCATTACAGTAATGTATCTTTTATTAAACAAGCCCATAAACAGACTGGGACTTGGTTTGGGTTCGATAGTTTTACGCTTCTACTTGTGAATCTTTGAGTGTGTGTGTGTGTGTGTGTGTGTGTGTGTGTGTGTGTGTGT